TTTTTAATGTTGTTATGAACCGTGTTCTGACACAGATTTAGGAGCATGAAAAAAATTAATAAATTGTTTGATTTACTTCTTCCAAAAATTATATTAAGTTGCGATGAAACATCCATTAAAATAAATGTACAGCCATTTATAACAAATATCCTGAAATATTTGATATAAAGAATTTTGTTTGTAAAAGAGACCTTAAGAATGATCTATCAATTAAGGAATATTTCAATATAATTTTAAGTAAGTATGGGGTACTTGAAAGCGACTTAAGTGAAGTTTACTTAATGTTCCTTTTATTTTTTACGTTGCCTGTAACTACTGCATTTGTTGAAAGATCATTTAACAAGCTAAAACTTGTAAAAATCTATCTTAGGTCTACTACAGGCCGGATTAGATTAAGCGATCTTGCTTTGCTCTCTATAGAGAATGAAGAAGCCCAAAACCTTGATATAAATGATATTATCAACGAATTTGTAAATAGAAAAGCAAGAAAAAGGGATTTTTAATTTTATTATTGTTTAATTTTTGACTTTTGTTATTTCATTATTTTTATTTGTGTTACTTTTTGTTTTTATGACAATAAACAGTTTTTTTTTTATTATAACATGATATTTTTTATTCTTAAACATACTCATGACGGCCCCCAAAAAATGTTTGCCCCGGGCCCCATGACTTCTAGCTACGCCACTGACTAACACTTTATTCCTTCTTGGTGCAGATCTTACTCACTTAACAGACTTTAAGCTTAATATCCCTTCATCCTTTTATCCGTATATATAAATTGTGAAACAAAACTTATATAATCACAAGCTACCTATATAGTAGCTTATAGTCGAGGCTCTAATACTGTATATTCTGAAATTCTGATATTTTTTCATAGGTTGCAGAAATTTAACCACACTACCCGCACTACCCGGAAAATATTTAGGAGTCGGCATAGTCGCCCGCAATTATCAATGTTTGGCTCTGATGTGATGTAAAATCTCCTTCAGAGGTCTCACTACTGGAGGTGTAAGCTGTAAGTTGTATACTACAGCTAGAAAGAAAATGCAATGCATAGGTGCATAGTGAAGATTTGTGTGTTAATGATATGTGTTGATGATAATTTCAATTTCTTGTCTCAAATACACTTACTTGAGATTCAAAGCTAGAAATTACGCATCCACTTTTTCTTATTCATTCTGGAAATTACATATGCAAATTTGCTGAATTTCAAAAACGAGAGAGATAAAGAAGAAAATATCTGGTTGGTAAAGGAAAAGGTGAGAAAATATGCTACAGACAGAAATGTTTATTTTATAGAAATTAATATTGAGATGTTAATAGAAAATACAAATCAGCGCCTAGTTGTGATGCATTGCGAAAACGTTTGATGCGTGATGCGTCACAGAGATGCGTCAGTCCTAATTTTTCTGTGATGTGGTTTATTGCACACAACGCGGGGGTGGTGGCGACTTCCCGTGATGCTTCTCAAAGTTGTTGAAAACACAAAAAATCGGGAAAAATCGTAATTTATAACTTCAGATAAGACAACATATAAATAACCCATCGGGCTCAGCTAATAGACATTAGAGCCTTCATTGGCAACATATTCAGTCATAATTTTCTCACTTAGCAAGTATCACTAATTTTATCCACATGCAGACCAATACACATAATCATCCAGATGCGGTCTTGCTATTCAACCAACTTTCTTTCTATCACATCTTCTCAGAGATAAACACTACAGACTACTCGGCTTCACAAAACATATAGTTGCTCTCTGCAACCAACAGTGCGTGTAGTTGAGTCATTCCTGCATAGATGGACGCTCACAGCGATCATAGAAGCAAACGTGGAATGAACTATTTGCACCCTAAAAACTACCTAGTCTGCAAGATGACATTTTGTTGTTTTTTTGCATGTTATAGGTTTTTTTACATAATAACTGTGCCGGGTCATTGCTCTTCAGCTACGGTAGCTGAAATGTCGAAAGAATATGTGGTTTTATTTAAATGCCAGACAATGGAGTCATATCTATATGCGTAAGCGCTGTGGGATGTCATATTCCTACACAGCAACCCTCTGTTGCGTGATTCAGTAGATTACACAGTCGAGTAAGTTCTCAAACATTCCAGGCCGCGCCCCGCACTGTGATCAAAATTAAATTGTGTATTTCAGTATAAAAAACCGACAAAAATTATTTTTTGGAGCTACAAAATTATTCGAATAGTATCATGCTTAAGCTATTTTAAATGATTTAGATACTTCTTTTCTTTGCTCTATTTCTTCCTTCCTTTCTTTCCTTCTTTCCCCTTTCCCTTAAACATGTTTGGTATCTGGGTAGCCAAACCTGACGGACTAACAGACCGATGAGACTTTTAACTAAGAGCAAAGGTCCACCGGACCGCTCTGACGAAGAATGACGAATCGTAGTCATATTCCAAACAAATTTCAACACTTGGGTATTTCAAATAAAACAAAGATTTCTTTAATATACGTCTTTGTTGAAAAACTATTTATACGGAATTCCATAACTACGTTGCTATGAACCCTCCATCGATTGGCAAGCATACTCCGTTTATCATGCTTGCTTTATCGCTTAATAAATATAAAACTGCATCCGTCACTTCCCTCACCTCACCAAACCTGAAAATTTTCATACAAATCAAGGTTACTAATATCACATAGAATAATCAGTATCGCATTTGTTGAGCGCTTTTATGCTGAATAGCAGCACCTCTGTCAATTTGACAGCAGTATCGACTTGGTTGTCAAGTTTGATAATTTGTTAATTAAATGTTGCGAACAAAGCTATTCTACGAATATTGCTATTAAGCATTAAAGCGCTACACCACCAGACTGCTTTACTATCTAGATATACACCTGAGGAAAAACCATTGTTATACATGGGAAATCATTTCTTGGCAACAGCGCATCGGCTCGTCTACTTTCATCGCTATTCGTACATATTTCCTACCGTTAACCGCAGACCTGTATCACGAATGAGAATAATAGGCAGATACGCTGTGTTGCCAATTTGAGTAGAGCTTCCCGAATTGTGGGGAATTTAGAGTTAAGTGTTGATTCATTCAAGCTTTTAATCAGCATGGCCTAGACGTTAGAACTTCATAAAGATAACATTGAAGCTGAATGCTGCTGGAGTATAGTGTTTCGAATATTCAAAGCGGAGCGGGACACTATACTCGTTCAATGGGTCATCAAGCCACAGTCTTTTCAACAAAGAAATTATTTTACGAAAATGCGTTATATTTTTACGATTTTGTCGTCACCAAATCTCTGTTTCTCAAAATGTACGTCTATTGTGGAATTTTCAGCAAACTAAGCAAGAAACGTGATCTAGTATTTGCTCAACATTACGGATTTCTCGAAATACATTAAAAAATGTGACCTAGATACCTAACTGCCCCAAGCTCTTTAAATATAACACCTTAAACCAGGGTTACAAGGTGCTCAGTCACGTTGATTGTCATGTTGTACTGCGCAAGTCAGCAAACAATCTGGCGTAATAAACGTTAGGAATCATCAGGTATTGCCAGATTCCCGAATACCGGGCACCATAGTAACCGTTATAGTTGTCCTTCAAAGTTGTCAAATCGCCCCTATGGCGCAAATTCGCCACACCAGGCAACTGTGCTATAAACAAACCCTGTTTATCACTACATATGGTAGTTGTAGCCCTATCTAGCGGTCCATGATTTCTCTCAATACTGTTGTATCTCTACTGGCAACAAGAATAGCGATTACAAAATCATTTATACAACAATATACAAACATGAAAAATATGATTTGAACCATGAAACATTAATACAATTTTAATAGTTTGAACTTATTTCATTTTTGGAATACTCTTATGTGGAGTCCGCAGCTATTTTTCCCGAAATTTGGGTAGACTTAGATTTCTTAGAAATATGACATATTGGTATCGGCAACTCTGCGAATGGGAGAAACAAATCGCATTTGTTGAGCGCATCCGTCTAAGCGGTAGGCGCCAGCGCCCGTTCTGCCATCTCTCTCTTTTATCACTCTTCTACTTTACCCCGTTGTCCGTCACACTCCGACGCTGCCACATAGGATAATACAACCGAGTGTCTTTCACGCACCTACATACTTTTGTATATTTCCATCTCTCTTCCTCATCATAATGTATAATAATGTTTTTTCCCAAGTATGTACCCTATTCCATGAGTATACACAGACTATCGATCAAATAAGTAATTTGAGGTTATAAAAATGTTTAATAAAGAAAGACAATTAGTGTGGCGGCACCTTTGATGAAAAACAAAAAACAATTCTGCTGTTTCTGTTTATTCATCAGACCCAAATGGATGTGCATCGAAAACATCAAACGTAAAACATATGCCCATTACATTTGGATACGGATGTAATCTGAAGGAAAACGAGAATGGAAAAGGAAATACAACAAGAGCCAGCAGGCACATTTGTGGCTTCGATCAGAGGAAACTCGTGTTTGTGAGGCATCAACCAAAGTCGCCACGGAGGCCAGCTATAGTTACCTGCCGTGGTACTTCAAGCCCATGAGTAAATACAAAGACAGACTAGTAGTATTGCAGAAATATAGATTTTTCGATGCACATCCATTTGTGCCTGATAAAGCCAATAAGCAGAAGCGTACACCGTACTTAAAGTGTGATTTATAACTTTATCACCTGCATGTCATCCCAGAGGTATTCAACTTAACTTTAACAAAGAATATTGCACATTTTAGTTCAGTAACAAAAGAGAAATGTCTTCTTGAAATCAATGAACTGTCAACACTGATGGAATCGCCCCGTCCCATTTGTACAATGAAACGATAATGCGGCCAACATACGACAAAGAGGTCCGAGAGAGAGATGGAGCTAGTCAGGGCAAAAAGCGCGCGGACTTGAATGAATTGCATAGGAAACCGAGGATTCTTAGAGAAGATTTAAAAGTTATTCAGGCAACTGGAACGAGATAAAATCCTGGAAACGTAATTATCATTAAAAAACCAAGTTTTTATTTATTTATATATACATATGTATGAAACTTGCCAATAAATTCTCCTTTACACATTTGAAGATATGAAAATTAGTATTTAACATAAGTAATTAATAATTCAGGTAATACTATTGACCGAGCTGCAGATATTCTCTTCTCCTTAAGTAGTTCATCTACCAGACTATTCAGCCTTTGTATTTTATTTCTTTGTCTACGATTTTTACACTGATTGTACTTGTTAATTTTTTTGTACTTATGAACAGTTTCATGAGCAGTTTTCCAAAATCTCTTCCGACGCTGCACATTATTTAAATCAGAAATTTTGAAATCCCCAAAGTATACTGGTGATCTTCTGACCCTACAAACAAAAGAGGTTGTAACAAATGAGAAACACAAAGTTCAATGACAATTACCTTAAATTGCATATGTTTGAAGGTTCACTTGATTCTAAAAATCCTAGTTTTTGTGTTACGTTTGACGGGCCAGCTGCCAATATATTTCCATCATCAGCATGATCGCCGTTTTCATGTTCTTCTACTACTTCACCAATAGCCAAAGTTCGTTCTAAAAATAATTACGTTACTAAGACCCACTTCATCATTGTAAATATCTTTTTTAAAAGTAGAAAAGTTAAAACCTTAAGCTTAGACTGGGAATATTTTAAAGAACATAACTGTTGCTTTTGAGTTGGATTCTTCATGTTTTCTTTTCAAAACCCTTCGATGGCTAGGTTCTTTTCTTGAGATGGGCTGGAAAATCAAACACAAATGGAACTGCCACCTTTTTTAGTACCTTATTTCCATGAACACTAACTTCATAATCCTCTGGAGTGAAATGCTTTTCACAAATTACCGTTGTTGTACTGGGAGTAAAGTTTTCTCTTCTTATAGCATGTAACCACAACTTCCTCATGTTAGGATCTCTAGGTATCCTAAAAATCCAGATATTTCCTCGAATTACCAATTAACAGGTAATTCTCACACAAAAATGAATGAGATGATTAAAACCAACCTGTGAAACTTCATTTTCACATCTTTTCTGCGTCTATTGCAACAATTCACCCCACTGCAAGATTCAACCATTTTTAAACAAATATCACATAAAACAACAGCTGTTGAAGGCTGTCCGGCATAAAAATGTTTATAATAATTGTCGCAAACTATCACTATTAATCTTTAACGTCACTAAAAACAAACATTCACCAAAAATCCTTAGAACATATATGGAAATACCACAATGGACCACGATGTTTTGCCAATGTTTTGCCCTGACTAGCGCTATCCTTCTCGTTTCTCATTCTAGCCGCAATGAATTCGCGTTACGCCTGTTCCATCAGTCTTGACAGTTCATTGCTTGAAATCCATTTTTTTTCTAACCTCACATTGCTTATTTGAGTATCGTCGGTGTATTTGACATAGTTGCCAGTTATCTAGGTAGCCTGGCCTTAACACTACCGTCCCGCGCTGCGACAGAGAGCGAATTTCTGTCACCGTCACTGTCACTCTGAAATATTTGTATCCGGACTAGAGAATTTGCATTATGAAGTCTTGGCGCTATTTTTCTTGGAGTAATGATGGAATTTCGGTTTTTGTTTACATATACCACACCACACACTAAATATCCGAACTCCCCGATAACTTGGCAACCAAAGATTTTTTGTAAAAAAGGTCCTGATAAAAGTTTGAGGGTATCAAAAAAGCAATTTGTCGTTGACCTCACAGGTCATTTGTAAGTCAACTTGGTGAATTTAAATAGCAACCACTATTTATGAGAGCGCAGATCCATGTCGAAATCGAGATTTTACATCAGAATCAATTTTCTTACATGGGGTCCATAGTCATTAATAATGTGTACCTATGTCTTAAAAGTACACAAACGCCTAGAACAGTCGATAACTATGTATTTTTTAAATAAAAGTCACCGATCAAAAAGAAATGTTGTTATAAAATGTACTTGCACTCCACTCCCATTCATGCAGGATGAGAAAAAGTGCGTGGCTGTCACGTTTTCGGGGTGTTCGCGTACCTTTAGGCGTTACAGCAGGTCATGCTAATTATACCGCTCATAACTACTTGACTTCATGTATGAAAAAAGCGCTCTGATCTAGAATATCGAGCTGGACACGAATATCGTGCTATCAGAAATTGTGGTGGCTATTTGAATTTACAAATTTGACCTCCAAATGATCCCTGAGGTCATTATTTAGGTCACCGAAAACTTGCATTTTTCATACTGAAACGTTCCCCTAAATCTGTTTTCCAAAAGAATGTATGGTTCTTGCGTATATGATTTCGACCATATAAATTATAGGACGATTTTTTCTCTATACTCTTTCATCCTTCTCAGAAAATTTCTCCTGAGATGCTGAATCTCTGGTTTCTCCATAAGAAGTCTTCTTCCTTTTCTACCTCCAACGAAATCCCATTGTACTCATCACTTTCATTAAAGTTTCATGTGATCCAGTGTAATTGTGTTCTTGAACAAATTTCCTGTGTATGCGCCACAAAGTTGGAACCTTCTTTTCCGTTATACAGGGTGACTTCGAAGTTGAGTCATTTATTTTAACAGTGAGTAGATCTGATCAAAAGAAATGTTTTTTTCCTTTAACATTTTTCTGGTAAAATTAAATTAACAAAGTTATAGCCCTTTAGAAGTTTGAGTACCGCCCTGTCTCAATAATAATATTATGTGCTCGTGTTTGGCAACAACGGATATAATCCGCCTTATCTGTTCATCGCATCAGAAACAAAAAAGCGAAAGAATTTGAAACGTTTATCACGATGTCAGTCAATGTTTCAGTCGGTAACGCGTGAGTGAATAGTGGTGTTTGTTGCGTGGCTCAAACGAAATAAAAAATGGCACATGTTTACGAAAATGCTGAACTTGTGGACATAATTCTTATTTAATCGAGTGCAACCAACCCCTCGTGCCTTTGTTAATGTAGTACAAAGGGCTCGTGAATCAGGTGACTTAAGACCTCACAGGGGAGGGCATGCCGGTGCTCCAAGACTGCACGAACAAATACAGGTCCGCACTGAAATACTTGTCGGGAGGATACTTCATAAAACAAGATAACATTTTTTTTTATTTTTTTTTATTTTCCTTCTACAATCATTATCTGAAAATTAATGACTCAACTTCAAAGTCACCCTGTATAAAAATGCATTATAGATCGACGAAGCAATTCTTTATCAAATCAGATTTCGGAGTGGCTCTTCGTCTTTTTTTTTGTTTGGTGTCGAAGCACATTCTTCAACAGATTTCATTTCGCGAGAAATCCTCCTAATAGTCGATAGACTAACTCCCGTGGCCATGGCTGCACGTTCCTGAACTTTCTTCAAATCTTTAAGAGGCTTATTTCCTTCTGCTTCTCGTTGCACAAAGAATATAATATTTGCTACAACCTCCCTAGTTTATCCTGATAAAACTTTACGTTGTCATTTGATATGATGGCGACAATTAATAGCGTAAAATTGTATCTATTGAACCCAAGAATACGTAACAATACATACAATTCACAGATAATAAGTAATAAAGTTGTTTAATTGCCTGACATTTTTTCTCCTGACTGTACGCTAATTAGTCTAGACACGAAAAGAGACTACTGCTTCGTCCAGCGAATTGAGCCGCTAGCTACTGCGCACCGAGAAGGCGTGACAAATTCGCATCTCTTCCTACACTTGACGAGCTGTACAACATATTAGTGGCACTCAGTGTTGCCACTTGTAACATAATTATCAAATTGTATCATATTTTCTACTGAAATATACAGTAAATAAAAAGATGTAACATAATCGATAATTGTAACATATTATTTTTTCATCTCCCAGCCTATAACTATGTTTTCAAAATTATTGGTTCTAATTGTATGCAACCAAAGCAACGTAACAAAAAGGATAATAATTATTAGTGCTGACCTCTTTCAGTTAATAGCATGGTTATTATGGAATTAGAATAAAAATCAAGCTTACCGCCATCTATGTAAATATTACGGAACTCGAGTCTCGGTGAATTTGAGCCTACGCAGGGGAATACCCTAATCCTCATTGTTTCTTTTTCAATACAAGCAAGAGTAGTTGATCGAATGAGTCCTTATTAATGTGTGTTGATGTGATCAAATAGTGAAATAAAATGGCCAGTACCAGCAAAGGGGATCATCATGATTACTCCGATTCTTTGGATTCAGAAAGGGAGGCAAAAAGATTAAAGTTTAAAAACGTAAACAGACGAGAAAATAGACCACAAAAATATAGATGTGAATGGGAAAGCAATCCTCATTTCAAAGGATGGTTGAAAGCTGTTAAAGGTAGAAAAAATAACATAAAACCATTTTATACTTTTAATGATATGCATTTTTGTTTTTAGAAAAACCCACTCGAGCAAAATGTATTGCTTGTGATAGTGAAATTCAAGCAGATTTAACTGTATTGAAAAATCACAGTAAGGGAGCTAAACATTTAAAAAATGTAAAGGTGATTGTGAAAAATCAACCAAAAATGTCTACTATGTTTTCTAATAAAAACGAAGCTAGTGGTCAAGTGAGTAGGGCAGAAATAAAAATTGCTGCATTAATATCAGAGCATAATCTACCCATCAAGCTGTGTGATCATCTGATTCCTTTATTAAAAGACATATTTCCTGACTCGAAAATTGCCAAAGGAATGCAGATGGGAAGAACCAAAGCAACAGGTGTTATAAAACATGTTTTAGCCAAATCTCATTTTGAAGAACTAATCGATGAACTAAAAGCAAAAAAGTTTAGCATTCTAGTAGATGAATCTACAGACATAGGTGTAGCAAAAAATATATGTGTATGTGTTAGGTACTTTAGTGAAAAAACAAATGAGGTAACTACAAAATTTTTAAATTTGGTTCAATGTTTTTCAAATCAAAATCCAGATGAAGCAAATACAGGGGCGACTGCAGAAGTTCTTTATAAAAAAATTATGGATTTATTTGAGTCTAACAATATACCTTTCCAAAATATTATAGGATTTGGTTCTGATGGTTGTAACACTATGTTTGGTGCCAATAACTCAGTAGTAAGTAGGTTAAAACTAAATCTTCCTGGCATTATAGTACAAAAATGCATCTGCTACTCTTTACATCTTTGTGCCAGTGAGGCTTGTAAAGTTTTGCCCCGTCATTGTGAAGATTTAGCCAGGAATATTTTTTGTTACTTTAAAAATAGCTCCAAACGGCAAGCACAATTTACAGAATTTCAGACATTTTGTAATGTGGAGCCTCACAAAATTTTACGTCCTTCACAAACTAGGTGGCTTTCATTACTTATGGTAGTGGAAAGGATAATTGAGCAATGGAATCCCCTTCAATTATATTTTGTTAAAGAATGGACCGAACATAGACTGCAAGCTTCAGAAGTTGTTGCCAATAGACTTAATGATATGGAAACAAAACTTTTCTTCTTTTTTCTTCATTGGATTTTACCAAAATTTGTAAAATTAAATGAATACTTTCAAAGTGAGCGTGTCATAATTGCACACGTTTATGATGTAGTTTGTGAAACTTATAAAGAAATTTGTTTAAGCTATTTACAACCAAAT